GTATATTTGATTATTCGTTGTTACATCACCTGGGCAAAGATTGCCTTTCTCAAACTAGATTTGTTTCGTTGTATAAATAATTGCTTCGGTATTGTTTGATAATTTCAATTTCTTTGCTGTTCMAGCAGTTTTCTTTTTTCTATTTAACTCCGGTCTGCGTGTATGAATAAGCGGTCATTAAAGCGGTTTTCTTGAGACKCATTAAACCAGTAGAGCTGACTGATCCATCCGGCTTTAACAATGATATTTTTTTCTCTCAGTCGCATAAATTGAGAAGTGAATGTTGTGAAGGTTGATGGACGAAATGTCCTTTTTTAACTTCCGCTTTCCWGTTACGGAAGTATTTGAGAAGTAATAAATATCTCTTTTCATGAAAAAATTGATATTTTAGCAATACGAAAGATAATTTTTTACTGCTTCTTAATGACAATGTTGTGTTATTCTGCAAAACTTTATACAAAATAATGTAATAATTAAAATGAAATGTTAGRTTCAGTTTTTCAAAACAGATTCTTTCTCAGTAGTTTCGCCTTCGCAATCTTGAAAGACTGTGCATTTGCATCGAAGTGAGACGACTGGTGAGATAATTCTTCAATGATATGTGACTATTGTAAGATCGCCATCCCTTCTATGCAAAGGCTTGGATACATTTCAAGATGGCGCAGAGATTGAACAAGGCAAACATTCACTTTCTTTTCATTTTCTGTTCAACAAAAGTCATCTAAAACTGTTATAAGRCTCGATTRYAGTTGTAAAATGTTTTTCGTCAAAACTTTGTCAAGTTATTAAAAATCTATTTATTTGCAAAGAGTTTTATTTTTATTTTTTACTTATATTCTTCTTTTATATTATTATTATAATTATTACTATCATTATTATTTCACAAGAAACAAAAAACAAACACGCAAGATAATTTGCATTAGTATAAACATACTACTAATGGTCTATCATTCATACTGCGCTGTGATTGGCTACTCTACAAATGGTCTAATTTGTGATAGACCACTAGCGGGAAAATCAAAATAAATAAATTCTAAATTATTTTAAGGATATTTCAATTTGTTTTCATTATTTGGCCGATTACTATGTTTATACTAAAACAATTAGACCTCTCGGCCTCGTGGACTACGAGCTAATAGCCCATTCGGCCTCACAGACTCGGCCTCATGGACTATTAGCTCGTAGTCCACTCGACCTCGAGGTCTAACTGTTAATTAGACATGGAATTTTACAATTTATTTGCATTTACTATAATTTTTCTTTGTATTATTTTGTGGCAACAGACAGCACTTCACATTAAGAAAGAAAAAATATGCATCCTAAAAAATCACTCTCAAGTTAAGCTATTGTAACTTAAATACATTGATTTCAATGACTGATTATATTTTCGCTTTTATTCTATTAAGCTCATTAATAATTGTTTAAACATGATTATGGATGCAAATGAAGTCAGTGAGCTTTAATAAGCACATGCGATCTACGCTTTCTCTTTTTCCTTCTTTTTTTTTGGTTATTCAAACAAAATATTTAATTGAAAACAAGGCGTATCGAATGAAAATCTTTGGTTTTAACAAAGTAATAGTTTACAGATTTTAAAACATAAGGAAAGAATTAAATTGAACAAAAAAATGTAATCTGTTGCTAAATAAATAATTGAATATTAACAAATTAGCTGACTTTCAATATGRTGTTTTCTAGAAAGTTTTTTTGAATAAAGAAAGCAACTTAGAATAACATTTACATGCATCTTGTCWCGAGGTATTATGCGCAAACAGAGCAAAGTCAAACATAGATATAAAGCTACARGTTGGTATTTTGTCCCGTACTATTCTGCTTATGGATATTATTATAAACATATCTTAGAAATTGCTAATTGCATTGTTTTCTTTCGTGTCGTATCTGTCACTCATGCATCTTTTGTAGCTGTATGGTTCTTCTTTTTACTATTTTCTTATTTTTATGTATAGTATTAGTTAAAATTCATACCTACTTTTCTGCAGTGRTAGTATTACACCATTTCTTGTTTATAGTTGACACACATCACAACAATAACAACACTATAACCAGCAGTTGTTTTATCCCGCGTTTCAAAAATAACAAACGCTATCTTTAAGATCGGTGCTGCATTTCCCTTATATCATGGCAAGTTAGCACAGTGAATAGATTCAATCTCTGATAAAACATCCACACGTTTGAAATTGAAAGTAAGATAACAATGGTCGTTTGTCATTGGACTTGGCTGATATTGACGAACGGTCATTGCACTAAACATAGGATATCAATATTAAACTGATCGTTCGTTTTGATCTTTTGCACTTTGTCCCTCAAACATATATTGTGTATCAATGATACCACGATAAAACGTGAATTAATTCATGGCTTTTGTTCATAGTCGACCCTTACTGAAGTATTCAAATAGCCGGGTAGATTACCGATTAATCAAAAAAATACTGGCATCGAAAAGGCTCATGGTAAATCAAAAGAACTCGTGGAGACGAAATTATCATGATACGCAAGAAAAAATWAAATCAAACAAACTATGAATGCAAGGTTGTGTTAGCAATAATATTTTGCCGCAGCCAATTCTAGAGTTTTCTTTCCAATCTACAATCTAATGCAAAATAAACGGAACAACCTGCCCCTTTCCCCACTACAAGGTTGTTCACACGTTACTTTTGCTTGCTTGTCGATTTTGTAGCATTTYATTGAMRAACAACATTGTAAAAGGGGAGGGGAGATTGTAGTAAAACAATCACAGATAGTGTTTCACACAATTTTGCAAAAGAATGTAGCTCTTGGTAGATATATAGATCGAATACGCCAGGGGTTTTTTTCCCAAGAATCTTTCAACGTTTCTTTTTTATTTAAAAATGATCTCTTGTTGAAATATATATTCCGTTTGATAAAATCAAAGATGTTGAATTTTCGTATGTCAGGATATCCGCAAACGTTCTTGATGCACGTGGAATTTTAAGTGCACAGCCTACGGAAACAAGACAAGTGCATTGTTGTGTCTAACAGGCCATATATATCACGTGTTCCTTGCATTGCTGTAAGTACATCTTGAAAAGGTTGCCCATATATGTAATAAGGCAATTCTACAGTGTTCCAATTGCTTCAGTTGTGACTTCTGAAAGCATTCTCTTTCTGTTTGTGTGAAATGGTCTAGAAGGTCAACGGTCCTGCATTGAAGCAATGACAATAAAGCCGTTATCAAAATTCCGCATAGACATTAGAGAATATTCCACATGCAGAAATGAATTTATATCAAGACAAGCGGCAAGCTCATACAAGTTCATTTCCTATTTTTTTTTTTGACTCAAATGAGCTGTTGTAGAAGTTGTTTAATATTGGGATTCCTGTGTTGACGTTATAGGTTCCAGGCCCACGCGACCTAGGCTCCATGCTCCGCATACATTCAACTCTCTTTAGATTTCGTGCGCAAAATGATGAAGAGAGTGAAGATCAGTGATTTATCTTTGAAAACAATCAGAAAARAAAAYATTCCATATGAAACCAAAATGTCTTCCGAATTTCAATGTATTGATTTTGTCTGTTTTGGCGAAGTACATCACTTTAAAAAAAAATCAAGATTGCGGTTCTCCACTGATGAGAAAACGTTGCTTTGGCYGCTCTCRAAGATGAGACGTATATGACTTTTGCTGAATGTACCCTCTGAAAATCACCATGACTACAACTGTTCTGAGGATTAAAACAATTGCTTAATAGCCCTACAACAATGGTAGACATGTTGTAAGGGYTTAAGCAGGTTGCWTGTGATYACTGTAGGCAAAATTATGCGATCTAAATTGGCCATTGAATAAGGTTAATGCACATAAAAACTGATAATCCACTCTTATTGCACTTAGAAAACAGCATTTAACATAACTCCGTGTATGGTTTTACYATYAATCCCATAGTGCACCTCGGCAGGCATCGCGTGGCGTCATAATTGACGTGACGCATAGAAGTATTATAATGGAATAGTAAGCTAAACGTGATAAACAAATATTGMGTGGATATTGGACAAGTGTGGCAAATAAGCGATGCAAAATTGTATATGAGTATGATTATATAAATTGCCGAAATTTTTTATCAGCTATAGGAATCTAGCTAAATTAGAAATTTTGATTAAAATTAAACAATTTTTTTTTCTTTATTTTGTCATTTTCTTTCTTTCTTATGTTTTCTTAACTTCCTAAATATCTAAATTCAAAAAATAATTAGAATAAATTGAAGAAAAAGCCGCATAACTTGTTACTAAGTTTTCACACAAAATGTATAAGAACACAAAATTGTCAGTTTTAAAATAAAAAGCGGGAAAGAAGTCACCGTACATGCAAGACAAAAAAATATCATTAAATGATCACATAAACCGGTASGAAAAACAGTAATGTTGCTRGACGTAGTCCTTCCTTAGGAGTGACTGACAGTATTCATAGCAAAAAATCTCAACTGATTTGAGGATCAACACTTTTAAAAGCTGCAATCCAATGCATGATTAAAGTCTATTGTGGTACCGATGGGGGAATTGTGAACCTTGATTTTGAAATCTTTGTTGCATGCTATGATGGTCGGAATTTAGAGTGGTCTAATTTCTGTCCTTCTTTGATTTGCATCCAATCGTTTGCCAGATGTCAGCAATCATTTAAGAGATGTATTGTTATAGCTTTCGCGGTAGATGTCGTGGTTTGGTTGGGATTATTGTACACCACGGCTTTACTTACACTGCTACTACTAATCATCTTTTGGCTGCATGATAAATGTAGGGTCGCCTTCCCAACTTACATTAGACTCTCTGTGGTAAATCTTGATCGTCACGCAGACTAGAATGTGAAATAACTGTTTGTGTTTAAAATATTAGACTGACATTCATGTTTTTATGAATTAAATAAAGAAAACAGGTCAGTGGGAGTTAGGACTTTAATATGCTGTCTAATTAGAACAAGATTAGAAACAAATTGCACAGGATTCCAATAATCTTAAAGAGGTTGAGTCCTGGAGCACGGAAAACCTCGACATCTTGTCTAAGCTGATAATCGTTAAGATCTCGTCACCGGGCTGTGATTTGTTTGAGAGCCATCTTGCAGTGGAGAATTTGTGGCAAAACAACTTTGTAACAAAGCGAGCGTCATATTTGAAGTACCATACGTTACACTGACAAGAGTCGCCTTTGATCTAAGGTAAATCAAGAGAAAAGATTTTTGCTATAATAGGTARGACCACACTGTCATAGCATCTTCARTTTTTGCTATTCTAAGGCAAATCTATGAAAGACAAGCAACTAGTGCATATGCTGTTTTCCATATTCGTTTTCCTAGAGTTTTGTATTGTTTTCATTCATTTGAAGAAGAAGAAGAATATGCAAAAAAGCTACGAAAACACATGATTTACGACAAGGTGTGATATTCCCTTGTAGTCCTTGAGATAATGACACWCAAATCAGACAATGAAGTTTGTTTTCGTTGATCAGCTTTATTTCTCTCCCTTTCCATTCAAGACGATCTGGTGGTCGTGTTCCTTTGTCCGTGATGTTTGTTATTGGAATACTGGGTGTTAACACAATCAAGAGTATTTCCTCATCTCAATTAACAGACTTACTCTATCTCACGATTTTCTACCCATTTGYTTTCTTATTTTTGGCCCAACGGAATAGACTGATATATGTTGCTGAATCTGAACGGATTATATTTCTTTGGCTTCGATATCTTTCGATTGCTTCATCTGAGTTCCGATTTGTCCAACTTAATTTTCATTCAACTAATTTTGTAGGCTAATGCCAAACTTAATCTATCTACTTCAATCATTTCTACAAGTATTTGCTTCTTAATTATCTTAAATGATTTACTGAATATGTTTTATTTCACATCACTCGACTATTGTGCGCATGTGATAGACACAAAACTTTAAACAATTAAATTAAGAGTCAGATCTATTTCACGGGTTTTTTTTCTTTCGCTCTAAAGCATGAAACTGCTAACCAAATAGGGCAAAATCGTAGCGCAGTACAGTGGAGATTAAACAACAATTTTGCATAATTCGGGTACAATTTAGCACTTTTTGTTTCTTAAATGTTTCCGTGGTTTAATAAATGTTTGAATTCTACTGTTTCTTGTTATTTAGTTACCGATATTCATTAGTAGATAATACAAATTTTTGCACACATTTAGCCGTTGGTATTCCAGTCAAATACGTTAAAGGGAACTTATAAATCGATTGATTTCCTTCTTTATATTAGTTGAGAGCAAGCAAAAAGGCATTAATCAGAATGAGCATTCCGAAATTCAAAAASGGACTSGTKACTAGAAACACTTGATATAGTTTGAGAAATCTTATGACAAGAGAGGGTAATACTTATATTTTTATTACTTATTTTTAAACTTGAAGCAATAACCCCTTGAYATAATCATTTTTACACTCTGTTTTGTCCTCAAAATCATGTCAGATCGTAACACGTTTTTTTCGTTGTATGTCCTCTTAAGGAATTTTACACTTTTTGCGGTTTTTGAATCGCGATTGTCGCGCGATCATCGCCTGAGTTTCGAACATGCTTGAACTTTAGCTGCAACTCACGGCGATTTTTCGATTGCCGCGAGATCGCGAGCTGTTTACACATACAATTTAAGGTACGTGAGAACAATGTTACGATTGTCGCGCGACAGTGTAAACGTGCCTTTACTGACACACTCTTAACGTCATAAAATGTTTTAAAACTTGTGTTCAAAAAAGTGGGTTCACTGCAAAATTCTGAACACTTTATGACATCAAGAGTGTGTCAATAAGAGGACATACAACTCAAAACCGTGCGCAATTTGTTTTTTTAACACATTTAAAGTATGAAAGTTATGGAAAATCATTTCTTTATTTCAATTCAGTGCGTGCGAACCTGATGGTGTCAGTACAGTTGTCCTCTTATTGATACAATCATTTATCAAGCAATGGCCTCGCAATAATTTACACAAGTGGGGTAGAAATTCTTTTTTGGTAAAAGCTTGTGCACTAGGAGATCTGTGAATATAAAATTAAAGACAATGAAAATAGTCCCACGAGTTTTCATTCTAAATTTCTGTATATTTTACACGCAATTGAGGATCGTGACATCAAATAGAGTGATTTTTATTTGTGAAATACATTTTCATTTTGAATTTTAATACTCCTCATTTTGCACGATTTGTCTTTTCGGTGAACCGCATATTGTCACACATTATAAATTACACTTTGGGTTAATGAAAGCCATTCTATTTCTACTCGTTCAAATTTGAACGGAATTGAACACTCATTCTAGCATGCTTTTTCATGTGGAATATTTTCATACTCGTTACCAGTCTTCTTTTGACTTTTGGAAATAAGGCCAATAGACGATATCTTAAAGTATCCTTTCATGAGATAACCTAGAAGTTGATATGGATAACATGCACTCGTGTATCACGTGGCTAGCTCGTGGGCTAAACTTAGACGTGATGGAAGGTGAATTTTCGTTTTCGTTTTTTTTTTATGTTCTTGTTGTTTATTGTGTTGTTTATTGTGTTGTTTTTGATGATGATGATTTGTTTTTGGTTTGTTTTTTTCTTTCTTTAAGTTTTTTTATCTAAAAGATTCATAGCAAGAAACTCATATATTCTTTACAAAAGGTTTCGGTATACTATACGGGAAACAAACCCATGCTGCCGCGTTCAGGTTAATATTCCTGTAATTCTCTCAAAGTGTATCAGAAATTTTCATCGTTTATAGGCAATGACKCGTCATGGGGACRTTAGTCAACGGGTTGAACAAGAAAGCAAGCAAGTTAAGTATGGCAGTSGYTTYRTAATATGCTTATTTTTGGATTAAMATTGTTGAGTGGAATTAGTCGATAAAGTTCAGACAGATCGGAGACTCGGAAATTACAATGAATTTATAAAACTGGAACTGATACATAAGTCTTGTAACATGTGCTTCAAATGACTGGGAAATGGGGTTTCCTAATCATCAATTTGCCTTGATAAGACAAAATGTTTTATATTTTGTGTAGACGAGGGAAGTATTTCAGTTTTTTCTTCTCAAATTGCGTTGACAAGAATCATGCATTTGATTGACCGCTGCGTGCGAAAATTTGTGAAAGGACTAAAAAAGAAATGTGTTTGAAATTTGATAAAATATTGAGAGAATAACTAATGATAATAATACTCTAACAATGAGATACATGCATTCGTTTATGACCTTATAACAAGAGTATTGTAGTCTTTTGATTATAGTTTAGCAAATCCTGTTCAAAGAGAAGCTAATCCAAAAATTCCCTAAAGATAATCATTATATTCCTTGTGATATCAGCGTATTTTCAGTGTAGTCATTGTCATCTTAGGATGTTCTCCCACGGTTATCGACTTAAAAATACACTACCTCAGGCTTCCCAACCCTGACCAAAATTCTCTACAGGACTCTTACTCCTCAGGCTTCCCAACCCTGACCAAAATTCTCTACAGGACTCTTGCTCCTCGTATCAAAGTATTAATCAAATACATGGCTATGTATCGAGCGGCAATGCCAGAATTAGTTAGGAGCCTGTTCAATAGAGCTTGTTTA